CGTAGACGTTTGGGGCTTTTCCGGATCACCCCAGGACAGCCCACGGGGAAGTGTATCCTCATTCCGTGGATGAAGGGACTGGGCCCAGATCACACCACTAGGCAGTGGGCAGCTGGGTGGGAGCCAGCACTGGCCCCCCACTGCCGGGGTCTCGGGGCCAGCAGAGGCTGCGCCCCTCCTAGGCCAACGCTGGTCTTGGCTGACCTGGCATGTCCAAGTGGGACCCCGTCCTGTGTAAGGGCCGCTGAGGGACTCGAGCTGAAAACAGTGTCGGGGCCGTGGGCACGTCTGGTTAAAGGTTTCAGGGCTGTCTGGGTTTCCGTGTCGCCTGGTGCCTGTATCCTCACACTGGGCCACGTCCAGGGATCCCAGCCTTCCCCCGTTTGCACAGCAGGACCCGGTGGCTGCCTTCTCCGCTGGCACGTCGAGGTCGGGGGCTCACTCTGTCTAACGGCTAGCAGCACGCGCGAGGCCAGGCAGGCCAGGCGGCCTTGACGCCCAGGCTGCGTGTCCCCACTCTGCGCCTTTCCTGCCTCGGGCCCCGGCCAGGACCTTCTCTCGCAGCCTCTGCCCCGCCGTACGTGGCACAAGGACAAATGATATCTGCCCTCCGAGGCTGGAGGACGCACGGTGGGAGAGAGGGGAGGTAAAGCACCGTGACGCCACACCATTGGTGGGACACGGTAGAAAGGGCTTCCCCTGCACAGGCAAGGCTGAAAGAAAAAGTCTGCGCCAGCCTGCGCGTGAACCGCGGGCGTTGCGTGCCTCATCTCTTCTCCACCTGGCGTGGACATGAGGAAGCTGGAGCACAGCGTGGCTAAGTGACTTGCTCAGAGTCACACAGCTAAGAGGTGGTAGAGGCGGGATTTGGAACTAGAAATGTCAGACTCTAGAGCCAGAGCTCTTCATGCCATGGGCTGGGCCTCTCAGCATCTGTGTGGCCCGAGTATAGACCAGGGGTCCTCAGACTTTTTAAGCAGGGGGCCAGTTCACTGTCCCTCAGACCGTTGGAGGGCCAGACTATAGTTTAAAAAAAAAAAAACATGGACAAATTCCTATGCACACTGCACACATCTTATTTTGAAGTAAAAAAACAAACGGGCAATAACACCCACACATGGCCCGCGGGCCATAGTTTGAGGACGCCTGGTGTAGACACACGCAGGTGTTTGGGTTTTGTGCAGAGTGCCAGCCATCCACAGTCCTGAGAGCCGTTCTGCGGTCTGAGGGCAGGGCGCGATCTTTCTTTCTGTGTGGTGTCATTTCTCCTTCGTGCCTTTTTTGCCCTTCCCGCCTTGTTGGCTCCTGTGCCCGGCGTACCGGGGCCTTACGTGGTCGGGGCGTTTGGACTCTTGGGTGCTTCCTCTCGTGGCCAGCCCGAGAGCCTTTCGGTTCACCAGGGCCCTGCCTGGGTGGCCAGCCCCTTGGGGGGGGGGACCAGCCGACTCTGCCACTGTACTCTCTGCGCCCCACTGGCCCCCCGCCAAGGTCACTGCTCCCACTTACCCTTCCGGGGCCTGATGGTTTCCCAGCCGGCTGTCATCATCTGTCCTCTGGGCCTCACCCCGGGACGTTGAGACCCTGGGGTTGTGCTTCCAGGTCCCCGGCGTCCTCTGCCACACGACGGCGATCCCAGCGTGGGAAGCCAGGAGACAAGCCAAGACCAACATGCCCCAGACGCCTTCGCCACATGGCCTGAGAGCTCAGACGGGGCCTGGCCCGTGTCTTGAGTGGCTTCTTATGATGAACCCACACTGGGGCAGGGCGGTGCGTGCCAGGGAGGGGAGAGAGCAGCGCTGGCATCTACGGTCTGGGCTGTGGCCTCTGCTCCGAGAAGAAAACCATGTGGCCCTGGAAGTCAGCGTGACCTCCTGGGCCTCTGTCTCCTCCTGTGGCATGGACAGATATGGGGTCGGAGCTGCGTTAGATGATAAATGTCCCATGTCCCTGCAGGTCTGCCTGCTCTGAATCCCGGAAGTCAGGGGACAGGACCCCTGGAGGGGAAGTAAAGAGGAAGGAACTGGGGCAAACCCAGGCCTCGGGCCCTGGGACGGTGGAATAAGACCCTCAGTGGGACGGACACAAGGAGCCCTGTCTGTGCAGCCTGCCTGTCGCCCGGCTGCTGTGCCAGCCCCCGGAGCGACAGCTCTGTTGGCCCCTCGGCTCTGTTCACACCCGTGTTCTGGACCCACTGAGCTCGTCACCCCCACCACGTCCAGCCTGTTCTGATTTCTGCTCCTTTCTCCTGGGTCACGTCTCCCCTTACCCTCGGGCCCCCTGAGGCCTGGGCCCCCAGCGGCATGCTGGTGCAGGCCCGGTGTGCCCGGCCCTGGAGGGTGTCAGCTGATTCTGCAGAGAGACTAGGAAAGTGCCTAGAATTTGGGAGGTGGCGTAGCCTGGGGGCTGGGAGAGCTTCCAGGTAGGAGCTTTCCTTAGGTGGAGGGTGAAACGCCCCACGCTGGGGTTCCCAGGGACTACGCCGGAAGAAAGGCGAAAGTTTATCTTCCTATATCCTTAGCCTGGACTTGGACTAAACTTGTCCACCTTTCAAAACATGGTGTGCCTGAACCACCTGCGATTTCCAGCACCTCTCATGAGTCCCCCCTTGCCCAAGGCCACCGCCAGGGAATCCTGACCCCCCCCTTCACCGCCCCATGTCCAGCCCACACCCAGGGTCCATTCTATCTCCTAACCAGCTCTTAAACCACCCCCTTCACCCCACCGCCGTGGCTGTCTCCTGCCAGGACACTGTGTCCCCCTCTCCCCTCTTGCCCCTCCTCCCTGTTGTCACCAACAGCACTTCCCCAATAACTGCTTCTCACCCCTTAGAATAGTGATTTGAATGGTGCATCTTCTGTGCTAGATGAGGCTAATGAGCATGAACCACATCGTCTCAACTCAAAGAGCTCACCTGTGGTGGCCGAATTTTACTGTGGATCACTGTAAACCACCCAGAGAGGTGGCCAGGCGGGGAAGTAGGGCCAGGAGCAGGCAGGCCACCCCACAGAGCAGAGAAAGTGCAGCCCCTGCGGCCCGTGTGCAGACACTGGGTCTCACACACACCTCACCTGGGCCTTGATTCTTCCTGGGGAGGAAAGACACCCTCCCCCATGGGCTGCCATTAGCACTCTCTCCCTCCCATCCACCCGGTGGAAAGACAGCCTGCCGGGCAGATAAATGACACTGGGCGGGGCTCCCCTTTGAAAAGGAATTTATGATGGTGTGCTAGATAATTAATTACTGCCCCCACCCCCTGCCCAGCCAGGGGATCAGCTTTTGTTTCTAAGGCTTAATCCCAGGCAGGAGCCCAGAAATGGCCAGGCCAGGAGCAAAGGAGGGGCTTTTTATGATTTTTTTTTCTCCCTTTCAAAAGGACCCACAGGGAGGCGGTAGGTGGGAGGCAGGAGGCAGGGCTGGGGCACAGAGCAGCCAGTTATTAGCTTCTTTGTGGCCGGCAGGCAGGCAGGCGGCTCTGGCAGCAGGGCCTGCCAGCTTCTCACGGCCCCTGGAGCCTTCCTCTGCTCAGAAGACAAACCCCTGCCTGACCCTGACCTGGGAGGTTCTTTCTGGGGAGGAGGGAGCAGCTACAGGGGGAGGACCACCTGGTTGGGCTCAGATCACACTGTGTGTGCCCATGTGCCCAGGTCGGGGAGTTGGCAAGTGATGAGTATTTTTTGTTCCACTTTGATGAAACTTAAAGCCCCACAAGGAGTTTCCACCATCATCCTTTATGGAATGCACCTTCCCGGCGCCCCTTCCCTTGTTTCCTCAGTCTCTGGGGAGGTAGGGCACACAGGTGTGGTGCCAGGCTGATGTGGGTTCAAATCCCGCTCAGCTACCTACTTGCTCTGCAACTTAGCGTAACACTGAACTCCCCTGATCGAGGTTTCTGCGTCTAGAAAGTGGGAGTAACCGCAACGCTCACCTCAAAGGGTTGCTGGTAAATGGGGTGATAGACACAGGTAGTCTGGACGCCCCAGAAGTAGGCCCTGAGGCAAGCATTTGTGGACAGAGGGTTTATTGAGGATGATTTCCCAGAGGAACGCAGTAAGGGGCTGGGGGAGGGCGCAGGAAGGGGAGGAAGGCAGGCGCGGACGGCAGAGGGCTGCTCCTGCTCAGCTCGCAGGGGACCTCCACGTTTGTCTCCACTCGAGACTACAGGACGGAACTTTCATCCTCCCACACCCTCAGACATTGGCTCAGGGCCACCCCGGGGGTGGGGGAGGGATGGAAGCTTCCAGGCACTGTGGCTCCCTGCACAGGGGAGCAGGGGACTGCGGTAGCCCATGAGAGTGGCTGGCGCAGGCCTTCCGAGGAAGGGGCGCACATTAGGGGTGCTGGGAGGGGCCCGCAGTGCCGCTGCAGGACGCCAGGCTCCTAGCCTGGCACACAGCGAGTGTGCAGCACGTGGAACCTGGGATGGGGGTCCCTGGACAATTCATGAAGATAAGGATTCAGAGAAGTTGAGACATTGGCCTGCGGATGCACAGCACATCCACGTAGAGGCTGGAGTTGCTGTTTGCCCAGACTGGAGTCTCCTGATGTCATCGTTCTGTAGAGTTCTAAGCTGTGGTCTTAATATTTCCCGAGAGTCCTTCTCATGCCTGCCCTGGGGGTCTGGACTGCTCCCAGGGAAGGAGGAAAGCTTGGGTGCGGCACGGCTGGACCAGACCTGATTCTGCCGGGAGAGCGATCTGCAGCCCAGCTCAGATCCAGCCCCCGCCCCTGCCCATCTCTTCTCACGGCTACATCCATATTTTGCTGTCAGGGGCGGGGCGGGGGTGGTGCCAAAATGTACAAGCAAACCTAGATTTATTGCATTTCACTTATTGCTCTCCGCAGATATTGCGTCTTTTACAAACTGAAGGTCCGTGGCAGTCCTGTGTCGAGCAAGTCTGTCGCACCGTTTTCCTACAGCACGCGTCGTGTTTCTGTGTCACATCTGGTCATTCTCACAGCATTTCACATTTTTGCATTATTATTGCATCTGTTATGGCAATCTGTGATCAGTGATTTTTGATGTTGCTATTGTAATCGTTTGGGGGCATCACGACTCGAACCCACGTGAGATGGCGAACTTAATCGGTAAGCATTGCGTGTGTCCTCACTGTTCCACCAAGCAGCTATTCTTACCCCTCTCCCTCACCCTCTCCTCGGGCCTCCTGATTCCCTGAGAGGCAACAGTATTGAAATTAGGCCAATTAATAACCCTACAGTGGCCTCTTAGTGTTCAAGTGAAAGGAAGAGTCACTCGTCTCTCACTTTACGTGGCAAGCTAAAAATAATTAAGCTCAGTGAGGAAGGCATGTCGAAAACCAAGATAGGCTGAAAGCTGGGCCTCAAGCGCCAGTTAGCCAAGTTGTGAATGCACAGGGAAAGTTCTTGAAGGAAATTAAAAGTGCTACTCCAATGAACAGGCAAATGATGAGAAAGTGAAACAGCCTTACTGCTGTCAGGGAGAGAGCTTTAGTGGGCCGGATAGCAGATCAAACCAGCCACGACGTTCCCTTAAACCAAAGCCTGATCCAGAGCAAGGCCCTGACTCTCTTCAGTTCTCAGAAGGCTGACAGGCGAGGAAGCTGCAGAAGTCTGAAGCTAGCAGAGGTTGGTTCTCGAGGTTTAAGGAAAGAAGCTGTCTCCGTGACATAAAGGTGCAGGGTGAAGCAGCAAATGCTGATGGAGAGCTGCAGTTAAGTTATCCAGAAGATCTAGCTAAGATCACTGATGAAGGTGGCTACACTAAACAGCAGATTTGCACTATAAACGAAATAGCCTTCTGTTGGAAGAAGATGCCACCTAGGACTTTTCTAGCTAGAGAGGAGAAGTCAATGCCTGGCTTCAGAGCTTCCAAGGACAGACTGACTCTTCTGTTAGGGGCTAATGCAGCTGGTGACTTTCATTTGAAGCCCATGCTCATTTACCATTTTGAAAATCCCAGGGTCCTTAAGAATTATGCTAAGTCTACTCTGCCTGTGCTCTGGAAATGAAACAATAAAGCCTGGATGACAGCATATCTGTTTACACCAGGGTTTCCTGAATATTTTAAGCCCACTGTTGAGACCTAGTGCTCAGAAAAAAAAGATTCCTTTCAAAACATTACTGCTCATCGACAATGCGCCTGGTCACCCAAGATCTCTGATGGAGATGCACGAGATTAATTTTGTCTTCATGCCTGCTAACACAACATCCATTCTGCAGCCTGCAGATAAAGGATTCACCCTGACTTTCAAGTGTTACTATTTAAGAAATGCACGTCATAAATTTATAGCTGCCATAGACAGTGATTCCTCTGAGGGATCTGGGCAAAGTAAATTGAAAACCTTCTCCAAGGAAGTTACCTTTCTAGATGCCATTAAGAATAGTTTTGATTCACTGGAAGAAGTCAAAATATTAATAGCCACATTAACAAGAGTTTGGAAGAAGTTGATTTCAACCCTCATGGATGACTTTGAGGGCTTCAAGACTTCCATGGAGGAAGTCACTGCAGATGTGGTGGAAATAGCAAGAGAACGAGAATTAGAAGTGGAGCCTGGAGATGGGGCTGAATTGCTGCAATCTCATGATAAAACTTCAACATTTAATAGATGAGGGGTTGCTTCTTATGGATGAGCAAAGAAAGTGGTTTCTTGAGATGGAATCTACTCCCGGTGAAGATGCTATGAGCGTTGTTGAGACGGCAGCAAAGGATTTAGAATATATTACATCCACTTAATTGAAAAGCAGCAGCAGGCTTTGAGACGACTGACTCCAATTTCGAGAGAAGTCTACTGTGGGAAAAATGCTATCAAACAGTGTCACACACTACAGAGAAATCTTTCATGAAAAGAAGAGTTGATCAATACAGCAAACTTTATTGCTGTCTCGTTTTCAGATATTGCCACAATCACCCCTGCTTCACCACCCCAAACAGTCAGGAGCCGTCAACATCGAGGCAAGACCCTCCACCAGCAAAAAGATTGCAGCTTGCTGAAGGCTCAGATGATCGTTAGCATTTTTTTTTAGCAATAAAGTATTTTTAAGTTAAGCTATGTATATTTTTTAAGACATTGCATACTTAATAGGCTGCAGTATAGTGTAAACACAACTTTTATATACACTGGGAAGCCAAAGAAATTCGTGTGACTTGCTTCATTGCAATATTGGATTTATTTGCAGTGGTCTGGAACTGGGCCCTCAGTATCTCCTGGACCCACCCCACTCTTGCCTGGACCACCCCACTATTGTCTACCCTGCTGTGGGGTGGCAGGGCAGGAGGCATGAGGTCCCTTCCCCGAGAGGACAACATCCTAATTCCTGGACCCTGTGAATTATATGTTTTCCTGCATGGCTAAAGGGACTTTGTAGATGTGATCACGTTAATGGCCTTGAGGTGGGGAGACATTATCCTGGAATATCTAGGTGGGGCTGATGTAACCGCACTGGTCCCTGCAAGAGGCAGGGGGAGGTGTGACTGGAGAAGAGGCACACGGGAGCGATGCTGCCTGGGGAGGACTGGTCTGGCCCAGCCTGGCCGCTGCTGGCTTTGGAGAAGGAAGGGCCCACGAGCTAAGGGACACAGGTGGCCTCTGGGATCTAGACAAGACAAGGAAAGGATGGTT